TCGACCCTTTCCTGACGAGCCGTTTGAGTCTAGTGGTCCCTACGCAGAGCTGGTGGGCTGCCTCATGTACCTGATGACTTCTACTCGCCTGGACCTCGCCTAGTTCTTGGAGGGCAGCAGTTTGTCGTACTTACTGGTTACTGTGACTCTTCTTACGCTGACGACGCTGAGACTCACAGGTCTACTCAGGGGTACTGTTTCAGCTTGGGTTCTAGAGTTGTTTCGTGGAGGTCCGCGCGCTCCTCTTCGGTCTCGACCTCTACTCCTGAGGCTGAGATCTACGCAGGTGCCATGGCGGCACAGGAGCTGCGTTGGTTGACCTTCTTGCTCGCCGACCTTGGTGAGCGGCCGAGCTCTGCACCGACCTTGTTCGCTGACAACAAGGTGTGAAAGTTTAAAAGGAAGAAGAGGAGGGTTGCACTAGCAAGAATGAGGATACAAATAGCAAACCCTAGAAGGGTTGTACTCGCTATAGAGCACCCCACTACAGGCTAGAGCATAATATTCTGACACACCCCCATAGCCAAAGTGGGGTGTAATCAGCAGAGCAAGCAAAGCAGTACAAGCTCAGGGTGGATCACAATGTCACCACACATTCTGAGCACAAGTTCAAGAAGCAATAGTTTAAAGTTCACAATTATGAGCAAAGCTCGTGGTAGTCACAACGGGCAAGTGAGGAGGAGGAAAGAGACTATGAGAGGAGAGGAGGTAGTGGGCGGCAGCTGAAGCTGCTGGCACACGGCGCAACTGGAGCAACTGGCACACGGGCAACTGGAGCAACTGGCACACTGGCAACTGGAGCAACTGGCACACGGGCTACTGGAGTAACTGGCTCCGCGGCTAAAAGTAGCGGCAGACGAGCAACGGACTCACGGGCGACTGGAGCAACGGGCTCACGGGCGACTGGCGCAACGGGCTCACGGGCGACTGGCGCAACGGTCTCACGGGCGACTGGAGCTGTTGGCTTCACGGCGGCCACCCCCTTCAACCTCCCCAAACTATCCCACTCCCCCTGACACACACCCGCTGCTACACCGCTAGCTCCACTCCCCCTTCACCCCCCCTTAGTACCACTCCAACGGCTCCAACAAGTCCACCCCCCCTCAGCGGCAGCTGCAGCACAGGGAGACGGAGGAGGAGGAGGAGCAGGGAACGGCACACAGTGGCTTCACCCCCATACCCCTCACCCCCAAACCCTAATTCAGGAGAACGGGCTGTAGGAGGGGTGGGGCGCCAGTAGAAGCACGGGGGACAGCGGGGAGGGCAGAGGCAGCGAGGAAAGGGCCGCCCACGGGCCTGGCACAGCCGCCGGAACCGCGCGCAGGCGGCCCGAGCCGCGCGCGGGCCTGGCGCAGCCCGTACGGGCCGCGCGCGGGCCTGGCGCAGCCCGTACGGGCCGCGCGCTGGCCTGGCGCAGCCCGTACGGGCCGCGTCCGGGCCTGGCGCAGCCCTTACGGGCCGTGCGCAGCCTGTACGGGCCGCGCGCAGGCCACGACGGGCGACGGGGGGCGACGCGCGGGTCCCCGTCGCCCGTCGCAGCGCCTCCCGAGGGCGACGCGCCGAGTGACGGGGCAGAAGCCCGCCGCGCGCCTCGGGGCGCACAGCGGGCAGAGAACCGCCGCGCGCCACGGGGCGCACGGCGGGCAGAAAACCGCCGCGCGCCTCGGGGCGCACGGCGGGAAGAAAAACTGCCGCACGCCACGGGGCGTGCGGCACAGAGGGTAGCAGTGGAAGTTGCAGCGGAAGCAACGAGGTGGTGAGCCCACCCACAGGATCGATCCAAGGGGATCGACCTGCTCTGATAGCATGTGAAAAGTTTAAAAGGAAGAAGAGGAGGGTTGCACTAGCAAGAATGAGGATACAAATAGCAAACCCTAGAAGGGTTGTACTCGCTATAGAGCACCCCACTACAGGCTAGAGCATAATATTCTGACACAAGGTGTCGATTCTCCTCTGTCGAGAGCCGCGACTGGAGAGCAGAGTGAAGCACATTAACGTCAGGTACTTTCTTCTGCGTGAGTTGCAGAGACGTGGACAGGCTCGCTTCGAGTTTGTGGAGTCCGAACCCAACACTGCAGACATCTTCACCAAGGCGCTTCCGCCTTGCGACCACCAGAGGTGTTGTGTGCAGTTAGGTCTTGTTGACACGGGTTCTAGTCGTATGTAGGCTTGAGTTTACTGTTTCCTTTGCTTGTACTCTTGCCATACACCTTTGTGAACTCTTGGACTGGCCTTGTGGCCCTTGTTGCTTGTGCTCAGATTGTGTGGTGACGTTGTGATCCACCCTGAGCTTTGTTTCTTTGTGACTGGTCTTGTGACCATACACTTTTGGTTTTGCTTGACACCCCTCACTTAGGCTATGGGGGTGTGTCAAATATTGTAGCCTGTAGTGAGGTTTGTCTTAGGGGGTACAATTGTTAGGGTTTGCTATATGTACCCCAACCCTCATCAATAACACAACACTTTCATTCTTGACATAAGCCCACCCCCTAAAAAACAATGTATTTTTATATCCTAGGGGCGGGTATGTCCGGGGGTTGACAGTATTACAAGCAAAGGTATAGCAATGGGAAAAGGTACACTTGTTGTTGAGAGGGATGTTATAAATTCTAAACCCCAAAAAGGGGGGATTACAAATAACCTGCCAAATTATGCTAACCATACCTACATAAGCTACCCGGGGGTTCTGCATTACGGGGGGTGGTTTGTCTAGGAGCCTACAATAAGTTTTGCGGGATCGATGTAGCCTGCTATTCTAAAGGGCGTCGGCTTTGCCTAGTGACTAAATGATATCGTGGCTGTGCGTGCTTGCGAGAGAGCACGATGACAGTATTTGCTCAGTCGAAGGGCTGGAAGTGATTATGTGGCCCCAAAAGGACCAAGACTCTGCATACCAAGTATTTTGTGCACAATGGAACGAAAGAGCACGATGAGAAGGCTAGAAGTGATTGTGTGGCCCCAAAAGGGCCAAGACTCTGCATACCAAGTATTACGTGCACAATGGAACGAGTGAGCGAGGATTGCACTAAGAGGTCAAATTAATAGCAACAATATGAGCGAAGGCATCATTAAATATTGTATGGTGGAACATGTAAGCGACAAGATACAGTTTCGAGAGAAGCTTTGCAACAATGTCGATAAAGTTTGGGCTGGTCCCGAGGTAGGCCGCCTCAGCCTTGTAGCGCAGTGAAAGATTAGCGCACGATGTGGCTAACACCGTTAACCTGTAATGGGCAAAGACAGGTCAAGCCCGTGAACAGTTTTGTACTCAGCAAAGTCAGATGCAACGTAAGAAATTTGAAAATGCCTTTGCATGTAGACCTAACAGACGTACAGCTGTGGACAAACTATAAGTGAGACGCTGGTCCAACGAGTTTCATGTCGACGGAGTTTCGTGTCAGCATGCCACATATTGGTGCTGTTGGCAGCTCACCTCACCTTCCTCAGCAGTAAGTGAACCTAGATGATCCTTACGGGATCTTCGGTAAGGTGATTCGCAACCCGCCTCTCTGATTAGCTGATTCTTCATTGGAAAATCAGGATAAGGCTCATCATCCACTCGGAGCTCTTCGTCCACTCGTGTGAATGCCAGCTCCATTCCACAAACTTGTCATGCTGCTCATTCGTGGGCAAGTACCGCACTTGCAGAGCAGACCACCCCCCGCCCCATCCACCCATCGGGACATTCCCTCTCACACAAAGCACGGCACTGAATTGAATGTGCCTTTGACGGGGGAAGACGAGTGTTGCGTGCTGGGTGCGTGTGTGGGTGTTGGCGGTGCTATGTGTGTGGTGTGGTTATTCCGCCACGCAGTTGAGGTGAAGGCCAGGCCAGTCATTGGCCGAGGGAAGGAATGGAAAACACTGTACATTACGCTTTGGTACATGCTCGCATTGTTTTGTGAACTCGCTGCCACTGCCCGACCAGTGCAACGCAGGAACAAAGCTGGAGGTGGTGGGGGTGAGGGGAGGAAACATCGGACGAAACCCTAACGCCACTCGCGCAGCCAATGGGAGGCCCGACGAGAGGGCCAACGAGACAAGGGCTTCGCTTCTAGGCCCTAGGCTGCTCGAGCTTCAAGTATCTTCCTCCTCAACAGGGCTGACATGGCCGACGATTTGTTCATCAACGTTGAACTTCAGCGTCGACGATTTAGTCTCACCATTTTGGAAGTAGGCATGATATTTCATAACTAAGATACGGAGAGTGGCGTGAAATTGATTCACGACCGACTTCCTGACTGGATGGAACCGTTATTGTTCGCACGGGCGCAACGCTTTCACGTCTTATAGCAGCAACAAGAGATATCTAAGGCCCTGTCGTTAACATGGAGACTTGTTTCTCCCCACAGCTTCGTCCTAGCAGTATGTACCGCCATACCGCTTTGCACCACACATCATGCGGTAAGCTTTCGCTTCCCCGCGCTCACGTAGGCAGGCCCTTAGTACCACCACACATACCACTGACCCATTCATTCCAAGCTCGCTCACGGGTGGCCCTCAATGTTTCCGCCGCCGCTGCCGCCAGTACTCCGGGTCCTGCGGGATCTACGCCGCTGAACACTGGGGCACGCATCCCTCGTAGGGTTGGCGAGGTTGGTTCCGCGTGTCAGAACCTGATTCGGCAGCAGCAGAAGCGGGCCCTGCGCAGCGAGACTCATGCAGTTGCTGCACCTGACCAGTACCGCGTGGCGGATTCACCCGTGGATTGCGCGTCGTGCGACGTGCCCGACGACGCAGACGTCGAGTTGCTGCAGTGCTTTCCCGATTTCGTCCTTGACCCGTCAGAGAGCGACGGGTCAACCCGGCTATTCCGGAAGAGCTTCTCCCTGCATGATGCTTCTCCCGCGAGCCGTTACTTTCCCGGAGGCACAGATAGCAGCGAAGGGTACGTCTCAATGCCCGATGCGTCGTCGTCGTCATCGCCGTCCGCGTCGCGCTTCTCCCTGTCTTCCGAGGCCGCAAGGCCCCCCTATTCGTCGATGTCCCCTCGGGACGCAATGCCGCTGCACGCGTCGCCAGGTTCACCGGTGACTGATACCAGTCTCGTGCAGCCGTCCTCATCCCCGCGTGACCCATCTCGACCGCAGCCGCCGCCTGTGCGCGTGGATGAGTTGAAGCAGGGAGCCATCCGCGCAATCATCCGCGCGGAGGAGAATTACCGCCAGGCGTTCCACGCGCTGCAGGAGGCGCAGGCGCGGCTGGAGAGCACGCGCATGATGGCCGCGGAGCTCAACGCCATTCCGCCGCTTTCGCTGCCGCCGTCGCCGGCGCACTCGCCGCCCGCGTCGCCGTTGCGGTCGGCACCGCCGTCGCCGTCGCTGTCGCGGTCGCCCAGCGCGTCTCGACTGGACACCGTCGAAGCGACGTTGCTAGATTTAGACGTACACCTGGACGCGAATGGGTCTAGCGTGGAAAGCGCGGGGTTGGAGGGTGGTCTGGTGGGCGGCATGGGTCGAGCGGCGGAGCCGGAGGTGGTGGTGGCGATGATGGACTCGCTGGCGGCGCAGAGAGAGCGCTCGCGGGAGTCGCTGCTGCTGGCGGAGCAGGTGCTGCGCGACCGCCTCGGTGAAGCGCACGTGCAGGTCAGTCGATGCCCTTGCTTGTCCTGCGTCCGCTCTTGCCCCCTCCGCCGTTCCCACATCCGCGCTTCCCCCACCCCTCCATTTCCCCTCCACCCCCTTTTCCCTCCCATTCTCCTCTCTTTGCTCTATCCGGTCCCGTATCGTGCTGCTCTGCACTCTTTATCCGAAATTCTCACCCGCCCACGCATCGCCTTCTCCCTTCTTCCGCCCGGTTTTCCCTCACGCCCGTTTTCCCTTCTCGCCTGTTTCCCCTCCCTCCCGTTCCCTCTTCCGCCCGTTTTCCCCTCCCGCCCGTTCCCTCTTCCGCCCCTTTTCCCCTCCCGCCCGTTCCCTCTTCCGCCCGTTTTCCCCTCCCGCCCGTTCCCTCTCCCGCCCGTTTTCCCCTCCCGCCCGTTCCTCTTCCGCCCGTTTTCCCCTCCCGCCCGTTGCCCCGGCTGTCGTGCGTGCGATGCAGAGCCAAGTGATCGACCACCACATAGAGATGATGGACTGCGGCGGCCAGTACCACGTCGCGCACTGGCTCGTCGACAAGGTGCAAGAGATCGCCTCCGCTTCCTCGTCCGCCGACTGGAGCACTGCTAACGCCGCGTGCAACGGCGCCATCGGCGGCGCACCGGCCGGCGCCGGCGCCGTTGACGGCGGTGCTGCGGCGGCGGCGCCGCTCGCCGTGCCTGTGAACCTGGACCTGGCGGCGCAGGGTTACGACGACCACGCAGTGCGGTTCCTGCAGCACCTGCCGTACGATCGAGTGCTCAAGATCCGCACCATCGCATCTGACCCGCCTCTCGCGCTGCTGCCGTCGCCGGATGCGCCCGACGCAGCGGAGAGCAGGGAAACGGTTACGCGGACGGCGGATTCGTCGTCCACGTCGCCTGGCGAAATCTCCGCCAGCTCGGCGAAAAATTCTGCCGTTACTGCTGAGTCGGTGTCTGCGGTATCAGCGGGCGAGCAGGAGGGAGCAGCGGAAACCATGCCGTTGCGGAGTGCCGTGCAAAGCGGCCAGCAGATCGCGTTTCAGGCGCCCTGGGCTAATCTCCTGCCAGGAACCGTTGGCTGGTCACCGCCCGGTCTCCTCCCAGCTCCCGCTGCTGCTAACGAGCGCCAGCCCCGCGAGACCAGGAGTCGGCGCGCGCGGGTTTCAAAGCGCACTGCGCCTGCTGCGCCCCCCGCGGATACTGTGGACGGCGGAGAGTCTTCCGCGGAGCCGGTCTGGCTACCCGCGTCGAGCTTCGAGCTGGCGGAAGCAGCAGCTGCACTGAGTCAGACAGGCGCGGGGTTAGCGGAGCCGGGGCCGGCGGTGGGGCAGTGGAAGCAGTGGGACCCGCTGGACCTGGCGTCGTCGTCGGCGTTCGTGAAGGAATTTGGCGACGACGACGACGACGCGTACGACGCACGGCTGGTGAACATGGCCATGGCGGCGGCGGCGGACCGCGGGCAGGAGGAGAAGGAGCGGCAGGCGTGGATGCGCATGGAGCTGCTGCTGGTGTGCTGCGCGGCGCTGTACATGGCGTGGCACTGCGACGCCGTGTCACTCGCGAAAGACGTGTACGTGCTCGCGCTCGGCTCCGGCTTCGCGTTCCTCGCGGCACAGTTCGTGGGGCTGCTGCCGCAGCGGTGCCGCCCGCAGCTGGGGGTAGCAGGGCTGGAAGGCACTGAGGGAATCCAGGGAATCCGCTGCCCTCTTCTCGTGCACATGGCTGCGACGAGTGCGGGGCTGGGCTCGTCTGGTGATACGCTGCCTGCTGCTGGCAGTGGGATGACGCCGTCCGCTGTAGGGGGCGGGGCGGGGGAGGTGTGGCGGGAGGCAGGAGAAGGGGTGGTGCTGGAGGAGGCGCAACAGCAGCAACTGGACGCCAAACGCCATCGAACATGGGAAGCGGTGAGTGTTGACTGTAATGCACCTTGAGTGCCCTGTGTACTCTCAGTCCCCTGTGCACCCTGACTACCCTGTGTGTGCTGTTTCCCGTCCCTGGACAACCTTCTCTGCAACTCCCCGCCACAGGGTCTCCACTCTTTCTGATCATTGTTGGCTTTGCCCCCCCCACCCACTCCCATGCAGGCCATTGAGGTGATTGGCCTGGTGTCAGCCCTGCTCGCCCTCTCAACCGTGCTGGCTCTCCTCATCAAGTCCTTCCACCTCCTCCTTTCCTTCCTCACCTCCTCTCTCTCACACGGAGTGGCACGGGGAGTGCAAGTGCTGCTCACATGGTTCTCTGCGTCGCAGCTCTCAGCCATCGCTGCGTGGCCGGCGGCTGGCTGGATGTCAACGACTGCAGCTCTTCCTTCCAGTATTCTCAGTAGTGATTTCGCTCTGCGAGGGGCCGTTCTGCCCCTGTCCCTCTCACTGACTTCGGCTGCTGCTCTCACTCTGCTGCTGCTGTTTCGTCCAGCCAATGGCTCGTCTCAGCGTGCTTAAGAATGTTTCTTCCTGTCTCTTGTTACTGCCATCATGGTCTTGTGATTTGGGCCTGGCTGGCCGTCCATGACTTCAGGGTACATTCCGCTGTGGACCATGTCCCAATTGATATGTCCCAATCAATTTTAGCCCGAGTCGCGCTCAAATGTTCCGAGTCTGCATGTCCCAATCGATCGATGTATTGCGACTCTGCACAGACGCGCGACAATTAGAGCGTATTCCTATCCTCGTATCAACTGAACCTCATATCAAGATTGAACTTTTTGCCCCACTCAGCCTTGCGCAGCACATTCACCGACGCCTCCAGGAGTGTCCAATCGACCAATCACGAAGCTGTGTACGCGTTGTTGGGGATAAAGGGGTTTTTCCAATGTGGTCCAGATACATGCTGCATGAGTTGACATTTGGCACCGCGTGCGACTGCTGGGGTGTGTTGCAATTAGCTGGCGAATGTTCCGTGTTTCACGTCACCCAATGATAAATACGTTTGGCGACAACGACGGGCGGCCCGGCATTCTGACACCTGGCAGCATATGCCGTACGTACGCGTCCCAATCCATGGAAACTGTCAAATGTTGAACATTGATATGATAGGCTATAGTGAGTTGCACTCTAGGGGGTACAGCTTCTAGGGTTGCTCATTTGTACCCCATTCGTTTCTATTCCAATCATTCCGTTGTTCGCTAACTTTGAGATGGTATCAGAGGGGTGTCGATCCTCTCGCCTAGCCTAGCCTAGCTCACGCCCTAGCGCCCTCCGCGCCCTTGCGCCCTAGCACACTCCGCGCCCTCCGCGCCCTCCGCGCCCTTGCGCCCTAGCACCCTCCGCGCCCTCCGCGCCCTCCACGCCCTCCGCGCCCTCCGCGCCTTAGCCACCGCGCCCTCCGCGCCATCTCCGCGCCTTAGCGCCCTCCTCCTCCGCGCGTTAGCGCCCTCCGCGCCCCTAGCCTGTGCCCCTAGCCCGTCGCCCAGGCCCACGCCCTAGCCCGTCGCCCAGGCGCCCGCCCTAGCCCGTCGCCCAGGCGCCCGCCCTAGCCCGTCGCCCAGGCGCCCGCCCTAGCCCGTCGCCCAGGCGCCCGCCCTAGCCCGTCGCCCAGGCGCCCGCCCTAGCCCGTCGCCCAGGCGCCCGCCCTAGCCCGTCGCCCAGGCGCCCACCCCAGCCCGTCGCCCAGGCGCCCGCCCCAGCCCGTCGCCCAGGCGCCCGCCCTAGCCCGTCGCCCAGGCGCCCGCCCTAGCCCGTCGCCCAGGCCTGCGCCCTAGCCCGTCGCCCAGGCGCCCGTCCTAGCCCGTCGCCCAGGCCTGCGCCCTAGCCCGTCGCCCAGGCGCCCGTCCTAGCCCGTCGCCCAGGCGCCCGTCCTAGCCCGTCGCCCAGGCGCCCTCCCTGGCTCGTCACCCCAGCCCCGCAGGCAGCGCGCCACGCGGGTAGCGCGCCCCGCGGGTAGCGCGCCCCGCAGGTCGCGCGCCCCGCAGGAGGCGCGCCCCGCGGGTAGCGCGCCCCGCAGGCAGCACACCCTGCAGGCAGCGCGCCCCGGGGTGCTTTAGTGCCAGAAAATAAATAAATAAATTAAACCCTAAAAAAAAAAAAAAAAAAAAAAAAAAAAGGGTTCACAGTGGGGGCCTGCGACTGTCGCCCGCGTTCCTGCTTGCCGGACGACCTGCACAGTTGCTTACATCCCGCAGCCGTCAGTCCTGCAGCCCCTACTGTCGCACGTACTTTCCACTGCCAGTGGCTCTACTAGCGGCAGCCGACAGCCGCACTTACGGTCTCTAGCCCCGGCCGTTCCTACCTCCAGCCAGCCCTAGCTCGCCGCTTCTAGCTCCAGCCGTTCTCGCTCCAGCCGTTCTCGCTCCTCGCTCGTAGCTCAGTTTGCTCCGTGCTTCGGCCGTTCCTCGCCTAGTTTCACCTGGCGCTTCTAGCTCAGTTTGCTCCGTGCTCCAGCCGTTCCTCGCCTAGTTTCACCTGGCGCTCCTAGCTTAGTTCGCTCCGTGCTCCAGCAGTTACTCGCCTGGTTTCACCTGGCGCTCCTAGCTTAGTTCGCTCCGTGCTCCAGCAGTTACTCGCCTGGTTTCACCTTGCGCTCCTAGTTGTTCTCGTTTTTCACAGCAGCCTGTCGCTCCTGTCGCTCCTAGCCTGCCGCTCCTGCACCCCGCTAGCTTTTATCATGGAGTCCGCTAGGGTTCTCCAGCAGCAGGGACAGCAGCAGCGGCCTTTTCAGCAGTGGCTTCCGCAGCGGCAGGGGCGCCCTCAGCAGCTGTGGCGCCCTCAGCAGCCATGGGGGCCTGGTGGTTCAGGTCGCGTTGGCTGCAGCAGCGGCCCAGCCAGCTGGGGGGCTCGTCGCGGTGGCCGCGACGTCGGCCCCTGCCAGTACCGGATCCTGACCGGCCCTGGTGCTGGCACTACCTGCTGGCGTCCTGACCACTCTGCACAGCGCTGCTACAGCCGCCTCGACGACCTTTACCGTGAGCGTTTTGGGCCTGAGTCGGCTCCCCCGATCTGGCCCGGTCTGTTTCGTAGTGGTTTCCCTGTGTTTGATATGTCTATGGATGCTGTTTATTCTGTCACGTACGGATCTCTTGGCTTACGTGTACCTAGCTTAGGACCTTTGCCTGTTGCTAGTGTCGGTACTTGTGCTTTTAGTGTAGGTGCTTGTGTAGTCACTAGCCCAGCCGTGACGACTGCTGTTGCGTCGCTCTCCTTCACGCTGGACTCCGGCGCGTCTCAGTGTTTCTTCCGCGACCACACCACTGTCACACCTCTTTCGGCTCCAGTCCCAGTTGCCCTGGCTGATCCTACTTCAGGACCAGCAGTTGCTCGTAGCTCGACCACCCTCCCGTGCCCGGCTGTCCCCTCTGGTTTCCTCACTGGTCTCTACATCCCCTCGTTCTCTCGGATCTTGGTGGGTGTTGGATACCTTCAGGACCGGGGGATCACAGTCACTTTTCCTGCGCACGGGAGGACTGCGATCTGTACGTACTCTTCCACCGGGGCAGTTCTTGCCACGTTCACCAGAGAGCCCCACTCAGGTCTCTTCGTCCTGCACACTCCGCCCCCGCAGGTAGCTGCGTCTGGTCAGGTTGCTTCGTCCCCCCCGGTAGCAGAGTCCGGTCAGGTGGCTGTGTCCAGTCCGGTCGCTGTGTCCAGTCCAGTCGCTGCGTCTTGCTCCTGTCGCTCTCTCGCCCACCGCACCGTCCTGTGGCACCACCGTCTTGGCCACCCGTCGATCCCTCGCCTTCGTGGCATGCTCAGTCAGGGACTAGTCACAGGTCTCCCACGCACCTTCCCGTCGCTCCCTCCCTCGCTTGCCCCTCCTTGCTCTCCGTGCGTCGCCGGTCGCTTACGTGCCATTCCCCACTCCTCCTCCCTTCGTCCGGCCACCGCTCCCTTCGAGACTCTCCACTTGGACGTCTGGGGCCCTGCCCCGACGCAGGGGTCTGGGAGGGAGCGCTACTTTCTGGTGGTCGTCGACGACTTCTCCAGGTACACCACAGTGTTTCCTCTTGCGAAGAAGTCCGAGGTGACTGCTACGCTGATCAGGTGGCTTCTAGCCACTGAGGGCACTCGTGGTCGTTGAGTCAGTTGTCTTCACTCCGACCGTGGGGGCGAGTTTCGCTCCGGCATTCTCGGCGGATTCTGCGGCGAACAGGGCATCACCCAGTCCTGGACGCTACCAGAGTCCCCACAGCAGAATGGGGTTGCTGAGCGCCGCATAGGCTTGGTCATGGACATCGCCCGCACGTCCATGATTCATGCCCGTGCGCCCCATTTTCTGTGGCCTCACGCGGTTCGCTACGCCGCACACCAGCTGAACCTCCAGCCGCGTGTCTCGCGGCCCGAGGCTTCACCGACCAGTCTCTGGATCCCCTGGTGTTGGGTCGGCCTTTCGAGTCTGGGGCTGCCTTGCACTTGTTCGCGACACCTCCGCGGACAAGCTCTCGGCACGCGCCGTCCCCTGTGTCTTCCTTGGTTTCCCAGTGGACTCTGCTGACTGGTCCTTTCACCACCCTCCCCTCCACCAGTTCCTAGATTCCCGTGACGTCCGGTTTGACGAGTCCGTGTCCTACTACACCCGGTACCCCTGTCGAGGTCTCCCGGTACCCCCTCCCCCTCTCTTCCTCGCACCCTCTCCTCCTCCTGCTCCCGCTCCTCCGGTACCCCCGCCCCCCCCTGGTCCTGCCCCGTCTGGTGTGTCCCACGCTACCCCTCTCCCCTCGGTCGCGCGTCAGGTAGCGTCTCCCTCCCCGCAGTCCTCCTCACAGTCCCCTCAGCAGCCTTCGGCACTTCCGCGACAGGTTACTGTGGACTCGGTTGGTGTTGGAGCTGGAGGTGCAGCCGCTGGCGGTGCTCGGTCTGGGGGTGCTCGGTCGCGGGGTACTGGAGCTGGAGGTGCTGGCGCAGGTGACGCTAGCTCTGGGGGTGCTGGAGCTGGAGGTGCTGGCGCAGGTGGCGCTAGCTCTGGGGTGCTGGAGCTGGAGGTGCCGGCACTGGAGGTGCTGGTTCTGGGGGTGCTGGAGTTGGGGGTGCTGGCACTAGCGGTGCTAGTTCTGGGGGTGCTGGAGTTGGAGGTCCTAGCACTGGCGGTACTGGTTTTGGGGGTGCTGAGTCTGAGGAGACTGACGCTGGAGACCCTGGTTCTGCGGAGTCCACCCCGCCCCCCCACCGCCACGACACGCGTCTCCAGGCTGCCCGTCGGCGTGAGCATGAGGAGCAGGAGCGGTTGGAGAGGGAGCGGCAGGAGCTGCGGGTGCTGGACCTTCTGGAGCAGCAGCGGCAGCAGCAGCAGCAGCAGCAGCAGCAGCAGCAGCAGCAGCCGCAGCCGCAGCCGCAGCCACAGCCGCAGCAGCAGCAGCAGCCGCAGCCGCAGCCGCAGCGGCCGCAGCCGCCACCGCAGCTTCCTCTAGAGCGGCGGTTGTTCCCACCTGTGAGTGGCTTGCGGGCCCTTGGCCTTTCCTCCTCTCCTCCTGTCCGCTCCCAGTCTCCTCCTGTGTTTGTTCCTCCGTTGC